GGGAGCTCCCCAACCCCCTGATGGGCCCTGCTCTGTGCATGACAGGGGGGAGCTCCCCAACCCCCTGATCGGCCCTGCTCTGTGAGTGACAGGAGGCAGCACCCCAACCCCCTGATCGGCCCTGCTCTGTGCGTGACAGGGGGTGGTGCCGCAACTTCCCTATCGACCCTGCCTTGAGTGTGACAGGGGGCGGTGCCCCAACCCCCCAATCGGCCCCACCCTGAGCGTGACTGAGGGTGGCATTGCAACCTCCCGATCTGCCCTGCTCTGTGCATGACAGGGGGCGGCGCCCCAACTCCCCAATCAGCCCTGCTCTGAGCCCGACCAGGGCCTGCACCTAGGGATTGGGCCTGCCCTCTGCCACCCGGGAGCAGGCCTAAGCCAGCAGGTCGTTATCTCCCGAAGGGTCCCAGACGGCGAGAGGGCACAGGCCGGGCTGGGAGACCCCCCCCCCCAGTGCACAAATTTTTGTGCACCGGGCCTCTAGTCTATATATAAAAGCCTAAGCAACCATCCGACCGTTCTACCATCCGACCGGTAGCTATGACATGCAATGACCACTAGGGGGCAGACGCTCGACACAGGAGCTGCCGAGCTTCGGTGGCTTGGCAGCTGCAGTTCTCAGGTGACACACCCGGAACCAGAGGGGAGGGAGCCCAATTCTGGGGTGCATCACCCCAAAACAGCCCTCTTGCAATCGGGACCCCTCAGGAGATGTCGGAAAGCCAGTTTCGGCCCGATCCCACAGGCCAGGCCAAAGGACCCCACCAGTGCACAAATCTGTGTGCCGGGCCTCTAGTTTGAAAATAAATTTGGATACACTAACTTTTGAAGTTCTGCACGTCTCCATTCCATTTTCATAAGTTGTACCCATTATGTATTTGTTGCTTTCCTTTTGTTCCATTGCTAATTTAATGGAATTCCAGTATCAAATATGTAATCTAATTCCCAAAGAACATAGTACATAAAGATGTTAGGATTACTATATAATTATCAAATGCTTTCACATATATATTTATACACCTGTAGTATTCATTTATCCATATAGGTGTATGAATATATAACTAATATTGAAAACCATGAAGTCTTTTATCAATCTGTTTTAAAAGTTGAAATGGCAAAATTTCACATGGTAACAGAAAACAACACAAAATAGCCTATACTATTTATAAAATCCATACCATATTCTTACAGTTTTTCTTATAAAATTTCACAGAACAGGTTTTATACTGGTATTATAGAATTACTGAACCCTCTTTCCCAGAAAAAGGAAATAAGAGTAGATTTTAAGAAATCTATTCCTCTCATTTTCTGCCAAGATGATTTTGACTGGATGTTTCAGCTCTTGGTGACAATGATGATAATGTGTTTCTTCCATCTGGAATTGTCCTTGGAGAAAATATCCCTATGGAGAATCTTGAAAGACTCATTATTCCAATATTACAAATATGAAAATTGAGGCAGAGAGAAGTGTAATTTTCTCAAATTCACGCAGAAACTCAGAAGTGAAGCCAGGAGTGGAACCCAACTCATGTGGAAAAGATCTAATGCAACATGCTATATCAAAGCTTGCAAAGGTAATTAAAGTGAGTAGTATAATTACCTAAATTGTAGTACAGGAAAATAGTGTCATATTTACAAACCTAATTATATTGAGAAGGAGAATTACCTGAATGATAGTAATCATATGGATGGAGTTCACATATTTCATATGCTTTACTTTTCTGTCTTGAATGCTTTAAAAAATTGGGAGTTTGAAGTATAACAGGAACAAAAATAATTAAAAGTACAATCTAGAGCCAAACAAATGCCAGGTTTAAATGTTGGCACCAAGTGTACCTATTTCTGTAATCATAGGCAAATCACTTAACCTTTGAGTCTCAACTTCCTCATCTATAAAATAGGAATAGTGTTTAAAATATCTGGAAAGTATATATTACAAGTAATGCATAAATAGCACCTATTAATATGGTTGCATAGTCATAAGTAAGTATGTGTGGTTATTAGGTAATAATAATACATGCACACACATCAGCTAGTTTTTAATATATCTTCTTTTACTGTATTTTGAGTTATTCATCAGATTTTTTCCAAATTTCCTTATTATTTTATTTTCAAATGGATTAATATAAGTATGGGTAATACATTACATGATACAAGATTTCAATTATGGCCTAATAGACCACTGAAAATTCAGAGTTAAATCTTAGTTTAAATATTTTTTGGTACAGGCATCTGAGGAAACTACTAGTTTCGACGGAGTGTTGTGATATGAGTAATATTAAAATAAAAACATGTTTGGAAATTGATATTTCTTTTTGCTTTCTCTTAGCACCATGCTAAGAGAAATTCAGATTGTTTCTGAAATGAAAATGGAGAATATTTGAAATATTCCTGGAGTAGAATAAAACAGAACTATCCAGACCAGATATAAAGACTTATTATAAATTAGAATATTAAGACTGTGGTTTTGTCAAATCAAAAAAGCTGTGCATATATGGAAACTTGATTTAGAACAGAGTCAAACAGTGATCAGTGGGAAATGATGGGATATTTAATAAATTGTCCTGGAACAACTTGTTATCTATATGGAATAAAGTAAATTTAGATCTTTTCCTTGAAATAGGTATGAAAACAAATACTTTAGGGATTACACACTTTAATTGGAAATGCAAACTTTAAAACTCTTAGAAGAAGACATAGAAGACTTTCTTACTGTCCTTGGCAGAAAGATGGGTCTTCATGAAGACATCAAAGTAATATGCATAACAGAAAATTGATAAATTTGAATATATGAAATCTTAGATTTTCTGATCATCAAAGGGCACTCGAAGGACTGAAAAAAAGATCCAATAAATTGAGAGACTATAATATCAGCCATATAACCACAAAGCATTAAATTAGCGTTTAGAACATACTTTAAAAATCTATAAAGAATAAATTTAATTTTAAAAGAATTCAATGCAAACCAAATATGCAGAAGCACTTTAGAAAAGAGGAAATGCAAATGGGCCATAAGCATTGTAAAGATGCTTTACTTCATTAGTAATTAGGAAATGCAAAATAACATGCTTAGATAACATTTATAATCATTGTATTGGAAAAATGATAACTCCTAATGTTGGCAAATACATCTCTATATATAAAAGCCTAAGTGACCTTCCAACTGTCCGACCGATAGCTATAATGCACAATGACCACCAGGGGGCAGACTTTCAATGCAGGAGCTGCCAAGATGTGGTGACTTGGCAGCTGCGGCCCTCAGTTGATGCACCCGGAACCAGAGAGGAGGGAGCCGGATTCGGGGGTGTGTCATCTGAGAATGCCCTCTCGCAATCTGGGACCCCTCAGGGGATATCGGAGAGCCGGTTTCAGCCCAATCCCCACAGGCCAGGCCCAGGGACCCCACCAGTGCATGAATTCATGCATCAGGCCTCTAGTGAGTAAATAAAAACTCTTACACACTGGACTGTGGGAGGTTAAATTGATGCAACTTTGGAAAATAATTTTTCTGTATTATGTTAAGTTGAACATTCACACAACTTGTGACCCATCAGTGCAACTCCTGGATATATACTTAGAGAGGTTTGATCATGTTTATCAGAACACACATACAAGAATATTTATAGCAGCACCATTTATAAAAGAAAAAAAAAGTAATTCAAGTGTGCATGGACAGGAGAATAGATAAACTGTGGTATATTTACACAATGGAATAGTATAGTCATTTTTAAAAAATGAGTGAATACAGTTCCTTAAGTCAATATGGATAGGGCAAGAAGCCTAAAAGACAATTGAACTTAAACAGTACTTTTTAAAGTAACACGTTCTGAAACCTGTGTGTTTGCTTTAAATAAAGACTTGGGGATGATAAACACAATGTGAGAGGACACTTAGCTTAACAAGGATATACAACGATGAGAAATGCAGTATGAAAGGGAAAATGTTCCTCCTAAAGAAAACAGTGAAATGATGCCAATATTTTTCTGGTTCTGATCATGGATAGGCACCTAATGGATATTTAAAATTATACATGTGTAATTTTAGATAACATTCATAATAATTAAATATCTATATTTAAATGTACTAGGTAAATTCAATTACTATGTTAGAAGGAAAACATCTCTACAAAGCTGATGTGAATTATATAATGTCTCATCTCAGTATTAGTATTTAACAAATATCAGTGAAAAATTTTTTTTTATTTTGACCTTAGTTTTAGGAAATTATAGGAATTACATATTTACAAAGTAAAATGAAAGTACAAAAGGCAGACAAAAATAGTTCAAAAGAAGGGACTCACTCCGAGGTGCAGTGCTCAGAGAAAGCTCTGGGAAGCAGCGGCGGCCGGTGCTCACAGTGCCCTTTCAGACCCAGCTTCCTCCGTTGTCCCTGAGCACGTGTCAGATTGGTTCAGGAACTGACAGCTAGGTGTCAAGTCGAAGAACTTGGGAGAGAGGGAAGATTTTCACCAAGATAATTATTAAAATGTTGTAACTGTGGATGGTGCCAGATGGTACTAGCACTACTGTGATCACTTCGTGAGGTATATGTAGTCACTGTGTTGTACATATTATTTATTATGTACAATAATACATACATACAATAATACACCTGAAACTAATATAAAATTGCGTGTCAACTGTAATTGAAAAATACATTTTAAAGGATGTTAGCTCTAACTCATAGAAACCCTTGGTAAAGCCAGATACCTGTGAATAACCTAAAACAATAGTTCTTTCTCGTCTATTTTTATATAGTATCTCATAAAATTGACATGCAGCACTTCATATGGGCCTTCTGAAAGTTTAAAAAGTATTATCATGAACATGAGACCTGATTAAATTCAGTGTTGGTGTATTTTCATATTCATTCCTTCATCATGTCTTTGTGTAAGACATTGAGGAACTGCTTTTTCATTGGCAACAAAAAAGGAGGGGGAAATGCCCATTTAATTTTCTTTCTTTCTTTTGCTTGTTTGTTCCTTGTCTTTGTTAAAGGTGAAAGTCTGGTTCCAGAACAGGCGGATGAAGTGGAAGAGAGTAAAAGGGGGACAGCAAGGAGCTGCGGCTCGAGAAAAGGAACTGGTGAATGTGAAAAAGGGAACCCTCCTCCCTTCCGAGCTCTCGGGCATTGGCGCGGCCACCCTCCAGCAGACAGGGGACTCTCTAGCCAACGACGACAGCCACGACAGTGACCACAGCTCGGAGCACGCACACTTATGATACACGCAGTGAGGACCAGCTCCATTCTCAGGAAAGAAGTGTTGTGACGGCAAGCCTTACTCAAACATCGTTTACACAGAGAGATGACTATGACAGTGATTTTTTAATATTATTCCATGCAGGCATCTCGAGTCAGTTTCTCACGATTTCTAGAGGGTTTAACACTAAGTGCCACTTATTAAAGATGCTTCCCGGTGAAGATGGAGAAAGGTGAACTCGCTTTGAATATTCCAGGTGTGTGGGTGGTGTGTATGGCAGCGAGCAGGTATGTTTGCTTTTGCTTGCACTGAAAGTGGAATTGCTATCAAGAGCAAACTCTGAGACATTTTCATTCCACATGCCTCCAGAATGAAGATGCAGAAGATGAACTTGCTTTGAACATTCCAGATGCATGAGGTGATGTGTATGACAGTGGGCAGGTATTGGCTTTTGCTTGCACTGACAATTAGATTGCTTTCAAGAATAAAAACATGAAACATTTTTATCCTGAACAACCACAGTGCCTGAAATCACTCTTAAGTGGATAAAAAAAAAATGTATTTTAACTCTGTATATATTACCCTTAAGTCATTTTCCTGTCTTCACTACGTTTAGCAACGCATTCATATTAGCTGATGAAAATAGGCACTGACGATGACAACCAGACCAGCTTCCTGTCTTTATATCCACTTTGTCATCCCAGAGACAATCAGCACATGCTTACTTGTGTTCAAGTAGAGAAAAATACATTAGAGTCTGATAGGACATATTCTTGTACCACAGACAAAACAAATCTTATGTTGCATTTTCTATCAACTGCTGCTAATACATTATTATAAAAGTTACCTAGCTCCTCAATTCTTCCTATCTTATAGCTTGAAAAAAAATAGGATCATAGGCAAATCAGTTACCTTGCAGAAAGAGCTTTGTATGACATTGTCTGATTTTATTTCTATAAAATGTTAGCTGTTATGAATATCATTTAATTTACAAGAAAAAGGTTTACGCCTGATTGGTGATGGTGTTAGACAAGTTGCAAAACCAAATTGATTCCTCAAGTTGGTGGACAATAAAATTCTGAATGTCTTCAAATAAAATTCAGTAAAAACATTATTTTTTTCATATATGATGTATTCATGCAAAACAACAATCTTTGTATTTTGTAAAAAACAAAGTGTTTAATAAATGATCCTTTGTAAATAATTTTGGTCTCCCTACTATGTTTTCCTCAATTTTTACATGTTTTAATGTAAATACTTAATATATCCCAAGTTCATCTGCACTTGTGGGAATCCAGATGGTCATAAATTAATGAATCATCTACGTGTATATTTCTGAAAGTTTTATTATAAAAAAGCAGTCCTCTAATATCATAGACCATATAGTAATGGGCATACACTAAGCCATTTCCCTGATTTGAGAAATAAGCCAAATAGATTTCTTTGTGCGTTTTATTAAATCAAAGATAAAAGTAAGAAAAAATGTAATATTATTCACCACAATGAGATAAGTAAAATATTCATACGTTTTAAAGCGTATGTATAATATGTGTGAATTAGTCAAATAAGTCAAAATATCCAAGGTTGTTGATGTGAAAATAAGCTAAATAAACTAATAAGCATTCTCAGTACTGATGGACATTGCCAATAAAAAACTCAGATTAGCCCTAGCTGGTTTGGCTCAGTGGATAGAGCGTTGGCCTGCGGACTGAGGGTGCCAGGTTCGATTCCGGCCAAGGGCAAATGCCTGGGTTGCGGGCTCGATCCCCAGTGGGGGGCATGCTGGAGGCAGCTGATCACTGATTCTCATCATTGATGTCTCTCTCTCTCTCTCTCTCCCTCCCTCTTCCTCTCTGAAATCAATAAAGAAATATATATTTTTTAAAAACTCAGATTATATTAACTTGACATATTTTGTGTCATGCATGATTGCACATGCATTGGATACCTATGTCCTGCTTACAACTTTATAACATTGTTTTTCATTTGTTTCATAAGCAGAAATGTATGGAAAGATACAGCAGCTCCCCCCAATCAATTAGAAATAGAGAATAATGGTGAATAAAATTTTCCCCAAACCTTATTATTTCATTGATTTCATTTGTTTTAGAACGATGATACTGATGAAAAAATGACTTTAATTTACTTAGTCTAGCATGATATGTAGACAATATTCAAGACATGAAATAACCAGTTGTATCACATTTTCCCTTTGTGTAATAAATTTTATCACAGCAGTTAGCAATATTTCTGTTAGCCTTGGAGGGAGGACTATTCAGATTAACATCTTCCAGGCATAAAACAGACACTCTCCTATCAATCACTGGAATTAGTTAGAAGTGTATTTGTACTGATGACATCTATGTGGGTGGACTGACTTTCTTGTTGTAGGATTTAAATTCAAAACATCTTGACAAATTGGAGAAGTGGGAAAATATAAATTGAATTGAGTTCAATAGGGACCAAGTGGAGGATAATTCATTTCGGCAGGAAAATAATTTCCAGAAATAAGAGGAAAGGACCTCTTAGAAGCAGCTAAAGAGGGAGCCTAAGGATTGTGGTCAAATAGAATGATATAGAAGAATTACAATTTAGTGTGATAAATGAAATAGGAAAAAGTGATTCTGAATATATTGGACATTAAGGAAATGTGAAGCATTTGTTAGAGAATTGTGAGCTATTCGAAGGTGATGTAATGAAATTTAACTCTAGAGAACATGAAGAACCACCAAGTAGGACAGGCCACTTCTGACCAAAAGGGGGCATCATTTTATTCATAATGGATTAAAATTATCCACCACATAAGATGCTAGAACACCTTAGCACAATTATGACAAAATTACAAGTAAACAATCAAGCTAGATTAATTTTAATTAGAAGAATTGGCAGTCTTTTTGGAGTGTTTTCATATTTCCCATCTTAAAAGTGGTGCACAGATTTGCTAGATAATACCTCAACATCCTTCTGGAATTACACTCCTATCAGGAAATTTAAGATTTTCTCATGCACTATCAAGTTTAATTCACTCCAGAAATGACAAAATCTAAAAGAACTCTGTTTTTATTCTATACTGGGATCCTGGCTCTTTATGATATCGTTTTATATAATGCCCTTTGCATATAATTCTGTCACAGACTTAGTAGCTCTGTGGAAATTTATATAGCATGAAAGTACCTTCCTCTGAAAATAGTATGGAATCTTGGTTAGAGTCATTTTTCCAGCAGGATTTAGAGGGATGAACACTGCAAAGTTTTCCAAAAGTTGATCCACATATTTTTAACTCATTGTTAACATGACCCCAATTACCTCTTACTTCCCATATTTACCTAGGGTTGTCAGCCTGTTTTCCCCTTCAGAGACTTAAGACCCAAGCTTGCCATTTTGTGTGTGTGTGTGTGTGTGTGTGTGTGTACAAACTAAATGCACTTAAAATAATTCCAACCATAGTTTTAATAACTTTTGAATGACATTACATAAAATAAATGTGGGAATGACTTGTGAAATTCAGTAGGGTTTTCCTTAGGAGAATAGAATTAGATTAAAGGGCAGAGGGAACAAAGTAAATGATAAAAATATATATTTTATGTTTTTAATGATACTGGTTTTCAAGAACATTTTAAAAAATCGCTGGCATATCTATAGTGGCAAATGCTAATTTCCTTTTCAGAGGAGTTTGGAGGTAATTACAAAGCTAGAATAAAATCAGTAACAAGATGGCAGAGTATTCTAAGTTAGTGATGAGAAAGATTTAGTGTAAAATATTCTCTCCTTTATTTGTAAACATACCTAGACTGGTGAGTCTAAATAGTATATAGATTTAAAAAAATACCTCAGTTATGCTGTGACCTGTTTCCTAATAAATTGGTGTTAAAGTAATTAAGTTGATCTTTGAGGTGAGTGGTAGTTAGATTAGAATGAGATGTTTATCAAACACAAATACTCAATTGGTAAAGTTTTTTTTAACTATTTGAGGAATAATTGTATTTTTATCTGTTGCTTTTATTGTATTCTTTTATTTTATTGATTAAATGTTAAGCACACAGTATATATTTAAAGCTGAACTAGTAATTGTGGGTAAATTATTTGCTTGATTTTGACTTTCTTTAGGTGAGAGCTCAATTTTATTTAAATTTGTAAACATTGGAATGAAATAATTTTTATCTCATTTCTATATTATCTAAGATAATATTTTAGTATTTTAAAAAATTTAAAAGTGAATAGAGTGCATGTTATCTAAAATGGTAAGATTAAAAGGATACTTCTTAACCCAAGTGCCCATCAGTAGTCAACTGGTAAGGGGGAGAGATCAACCAAAGTACTTATATGCATGCATATAGGCCTAACCAATGGACACAGACAACAGGGGGGTGAGGGCATGAGTGGGGGGATGGGGGTACTGTGGGGATAAGGACACATATGTAATAACTTAATCAATAAAGAAATTTAAAAAATAGTCAACTAGATAAAGAAGATGTAGTACACATATACAACGGAATATTACTCAGCCATAAAAAAGAATGAAATTTTATGATTATTAACACCATGGATGGACTTAGAGGGTATTATGCTAAGTAAAATAAATCAGACAGAGAAGCCAAATATCTGATCATTTCACTATATGTGAGATCTAAAGAACAAAATAAATGAACAAACAAAACAGACTCATAGATACAGAGAACAGACTGAGGGTTGCCAGATGGGAAGGGAGCTGAGTGAAAAATGTGAAGGGATTAAGAAGTACGAATTGGTAGTCATAAAAAAGTCACAGAAATGTAAAGTACAGCATAGGGAATATAGTCAATAATATTGTAATAACTATGTGTGATGCCAAGTAGGTACCAGAATTATCAGGGGATCACTTCAGAAATTATAATTATTTGACCACTATGCTGTACACCTGAAACTAATCCTATATAATAAAAGCATAATATGCTAAGTTTCTGACCAATTGGTTGATTGTTCAGTCCACCACTCGACCAGTTGTTATGACATGCACTGACCACCAGGGGGCAGATGCTCTGACCAGCAGGTCAGCTTGCTGCTGGTGTCTGGCCTGATCAGGACTGAGTAAGAGGACCGGACATGCCCTGGGTCCCTCTCGTGGTCCCACCCCAGCTGGTCAGCCCCCATCAGGCCCGAAAGGGACTGGGCAATCGCTGACCACACCGAAGGACCCCACCTGTGCATGAATTCGTGTACCGGGCCTCTAGTATAAAATAATATTGAATGTCAACTGTCAATATAAAAAATAAAACTTACATGTTCAATAGAAAAAGACAAATTGGCTCATGACATTACACATTTTATAAATGTCACATCAACTTAATTTCTTTTAGACAGTGGTTCTCAACCTTCTGGCCTTTCAAATACAGTTCCTCATGTTGTGACCCAACCATAAAATTATTTTCGTTGCTACTTCATAACTGTAATGTTGCTACTGTTATGAATCCAAATGTAAATATCTGATATGCAGGATGGTCTTAGGCGACCCCTGTGAAAGGGTCGTTTGACCGCCAAAGGGGTCGCGACCCACAGGTTGAGAACCGCTGTTTTAGAAGAATTCATCATATCCGAGTTCACTCCCCTCTCATTCAGGTCTACATTCCCGAATCCCCTTGTCTGGAATGCTCTTTCACCATATAGATCTCCTACTTACTACCTCATTTCCAAGGTGTCCACTTCCTCATTCAGGCCATCCTGGATCTTCTAAAATAAAATGGCACCACCTGTCACATTCTACCCCTTTAAGTAGTACTGTTTTTCTTCTTAGCTGTTAGGTAAGTATCTGCCAGTTTCTTCTACCATTGATTGCAGGCCTCATAAGTGCAGGAACTCTATTCACTGTGTTCATTGCAATGAGTCTAGCACCTTGAACAGTCTCTGGAGGCTCCACCACCAGCTGATATGCTGAGTTTGTGTGAATTATAAAAGAGTTACTTCTGCCTCAAGATATTAGACTGCCCACACCTGGTGACCATGGCGATCATTGTCACACTATATGCTAATTGTGAAGTGAATGACACCCCCTAGAGGTATTCAATGCATAATTTTCACAATTACAAACACTGATTCTGAGCTTGGCATGTTGTAACAATCAATAAATATTTGTTGAATTAATGCCTGAATGAAATGATACAAGGTCCATTCAAAGAAGTGGCTGTAAATCCAAATTAGTTGTAAAGTATAGCTCTGGAACATTTTTAA